GGGGGGGGGGGGTAATTATAAGAAGGAAAAGCAACACAACAATAACAGAAACAAATTCATCAAACAGTTTTCTGGTCAACTAACAACCTACATGGAGAACCTTTATGTGAGTGAGTGAGAGGAGGGGAGTGTGTGCAAGCGATAATGGCACCTTGTTAAAGTCTGTTTATCTTAATCCTCAAAATACACTCAGAGAGAAAAGTGTTTCCTTCCAGCCTAATGGCAGTGGTGTAACACACATGCACACCTACATACATACATATACATGCACACAAAGATATACAGGATGGCTTAACTACAAAAACAAAAAATGGTTTTCTTGTAGCACAGTGGTTGCATAAGAGATGAACAAGGTTCTGCTGAAGTAAATCCAGAATTTGGATAATATTCACAGGAACTCTGTGACTCGCTGAGAAACGACCTGACCCTTCACCAGTGCGATCGATGGAGCACACTTTTGGTTTCTAAGCAAAGGCTCTACAGTGGAAATCAACAAAATGAACACTTAGACAAACATTCAAACATACATGAATAAGTCATCTGTCTCCAATTTTAATGTGGTTTTGTGTCTTGATGACACAAACATACAACATGAAACAGCGATGGTTTTACAATTTCTAGCTTTAAATGTATTAATCCGTCTGCCACGGCTCACAGGATTAACACAGGAATCCTGTTTTATAGGAAAAGCAACGTGAGGATATGTTGCACTCCCCAGCGGACCGGCTGATTTTTATCTGTCTGTGAAACACCTTGGCTGGAAGGGGACAAAGGGAGGGGCCGCGCTTTGGTCACCAGAGAGGTGTTTTCCTTGGCAGTGGAATGTGTTCGGTGTGCAGCTTGCTCTGCGCAGAGTCTCAACTGGAAGCGGTTATTCCAGAAACAGGAAAACGCTCCAAATAATATGGCAACACATGGCCCCTTCTGAAGCTGGCTGTTGCCAAGACAGAATGCAGTATTCACAACTGATTGTGTGTGTGTTTGTTTGCAGTAATAACAGAACGTATTCAGGCACTCGCCAGTGGAGATTTCAAGCGCAGATGTGACCTATGCATCCCTCATTCTTTTTAAATTACAGTTTCACAGAGCAATGCAAAATGTCTTAGTACCTTCAAACTTTTAGCAGCAATCTTCATCAGCGATGGCTAATTAAAGTACTAATGTATGTCCCTGGAAGTCTGCAGCAAAGCAGATTAAAAATAGCCTTGTGAGCTGTTTGTATTTAAAAAATATTTAGTCTGTTGATTGTGTGATTTGGACTTAACATTTAACAGTAATCATTTCCCTGTGTTGCAGTCTGTTGGTTTTAATTAAGCTGCGTTTGTCTGTGACACAGTGAGGGTGGAAAGGCACAACTGTTGTAACGATCTCATCATAATGAAAATAGAAATTATTTAAAAAAAAACTGCTTCAGAACTGCAGTCTAAAGAAAAATCTATAGTGTTGTTTGTTTTCACATCATGTACATTTATCAAACCTTCTCACCTACAGGCTATCTGGTTCTTTTAAACTGGATTAGAAAATCTCAACTGATTTAGTGAGATCACTCTTAAATAGGGATGGGTATTGATAAGATTTTCACGATTCCGATTCCATTTTCGATTCTGTTTAACGATTCGATTCTTTATTGATTCTCTTATCGATTCTTTTTAAAAAAGGAGAACACTAAGGTCTAATAGCTTAGAACTTTGTTTTATATCTTCTCTTTGAACAAGATAGAAATTTAGGAGTAACATGGCCTTACAAACCCAACAGTGAGATCTTAAGAGATCCACAGCCTACGGCTCTTCAGTGGGGTGTCACAGGGTCCCCAGGAAAAAAAATTGTAAATGTAAAATTATAAAATAAATATTCTTCTGTAGCAATAACAAAGTATAACATAAATTATTCTGTAGCAATTACACAAGAATATCCAGTAATGTCCCTGCCTACAATTAAACACATTCACTTACCGAAAATCGGGGCATCTGCTGTGGCAAATGGGTGCAAGCCTTTGACCACAAACTTAGTCACTGCTCGGTGACATTCGTCTATCCTGGCCTGAAAGGAGACGCTACCGGTAGACTGCAGCGAGAACTGCCAGCATTTGAGCCAGACTCTGTCTGACTCTCTCATCATGGTCACCTAAATGCAGCGCACAGTAATGGCAGGTTTGGTAATAAGGCAGATCGCGCTAACATAATATGCACTGTTAGTTGATTATTTACCTGCCGCATTAACGGGAGAGGACATGCAAACGTTACCGCTGCTGCTGGGTTGAGATTCACGAGTCCAGAGTGGAATTAAAAACACGACATTCATTTAAGGTTATCGCATGTTTTGTAAGCAAATGCTTTTGCATATTTGTAGTGTTTCCTCCCTTAATGAAATATCTACTTTTCAAGTATTGCAAGCTGCCCTGTTGTATAACCAAACTTTTGTGCGTTTGAGCCACCATGTTTCCTGCCAGGTAAATGATGCTCCGCAACGTGGTGACGTCATTCGGGGCGACTGGAATCGATAAGGGAATCGTTTGCAAAAATGGCAAACAATTCCAAGGAATTGAAACAGTGGGAACGATTTTCGATACCCATCCCTACTCTTAAAGTTAGAGCACAAAGGTGCTACCTCTATCTGCTGCTTGACATGTACTATACTCTTATTTTCCTTTGGTTTATTCTCCAGGTGAGCAATAAGTAACCTACTGCACAACCTACAAACTGCTGTGGGACTTAAGAAGAGGTAGTAAAACCAGAAACAAAATCTGCAATAGATGAATGTGTATTTTGAATTGCTTTCAATAACTGCACAGTGCACACTTCCTTTTTTCCTGTCCTCTGTTCAAATCAGGAGGTAGCTTTGTATCCAAGTGACCTGTCTGACTCCTGCTCGAGACCCTTTTTCAAACTCCCTTCTTCCAGTGTCATCCAACCAAAAACAATAACTGTGCGGAGCTGTGCCAGTCTTTGAAATGCCTCTCGAATCCTAACGAGAAATTATTTTAACTGAGGCTATGAAATCACTAACTTTAGATTTAAAAAAAAAGAAAAAGAAAATTCTTTGCTTGATTTGAATCATAAAACTAATTTAGCAGATAATTTAGGACGGATTAGCTTTTCAAGACTGTATGACCTTAAATGAAATAATAAACAGCAGCCAAGAACAACACACTGACTTCATGCGTCAGCGTGTTGGAGGAGGACACTTATCGTCTATCGGTTAAAAAGATCATTCCGTCGGCTTGCAGAGTCATTTTGGTCAATGATTAAAGTGAATATTTGTAATGGGTTTTGTGGAATTAACTGAGCAGACCACTTGGATTCAGAAAGAGACGGTCATCCATTACTGTTGTCACTGTTTGAGTTGCAAGTATTTGGTGTTGGCATTTATCCAGAGTAACTCACGTTTGAGGAGTGGTTTAGGGTTTGGTGCTGAGCTTGAGTAAACTTGAATATGAGGAACAAATTCCCAATCGTTCTATTAATGGCCAGCATCCTCTTTCATGAAATACATCTGTATCTGTATCTGAGGCTTATAAACCAAAAGAGCACCGTAGTTGAGAATGAGTGTGGACAGCCAGTGTATTTGCAGATTGTAAACAGACTGTATATAAAAGATGGAAGTGCAGTCGCTTTGCGCGCTTTCCAATGGCCAGCAGAGGGCATTAGGAATGACCTCGGTAAACATTTTTCTGAGAGGTTCGCAGTCTCAGTCACTGGTTTCTTATTGGATACAGCATTTTGTAAATTATGATCAGCATCAGCCAAAAGGAGGAGAAAACAATGTGTTTTAGAGTAACAATGCCCTTTGAGTTCTTTGTTTCTGGTTCCAAAACATGCTTATCTCGAGGCTTTACAAATGGACTTTGCTAACCAAAAAGTACAATCAGCCTGGCTACAGCCGTCTTAATACACAACGTATAGTTCGAACTCACTCTTGAATCCTCTTCCCTGTAGCTATTTTGTATTTTGTGTCTACTCCCCCCACTTTCCATTATCACTATCACTCTACATGGTCCGTTTTTGACAAATCCCTCCATACATACAGGTACTGACAAGAAAGCGCTTTGACTCCAAAAATAATCTAAAACCTCTTGGGGAAAATTATCAACAGATCCTATTGTTTTGCTGCTTGGCGCTGTTCCAAGAAGGACTGTTTGTCCAAGTTTGCAACGGCTTCTTTGCAGAAGGTCCGATTTGGTGGGTAAGGAAAGTTTAGCCAGATATTTCCAAGCAGCAACTTGTGGTTCCAGTGGGTAAAAATAATAATTTTTGCACCTTAAAAACAAAACAAAAACAACATGAGACTTTGTCTTCATTGGCTCAATTTTTCCCCACAGCGACATAGGGATCTCCTTCCTCTTACTTGCTGCATGCAAACTTCTCCACTGGGAGGGCGGGCCTTCCCTGTGCCCCATCATCCCCGCAGTCCTCATCCTGGGCGGAAACCACGAGGCAATAAATTCAGTCTTCACACCCACTCTGACAAATATGCCTTCACCTCCCAGGGTTGAAAAATAAATCCATACAGGATACAGAGACATTCTTCTCAAGAATTGTATACCAAGACAAAAGGGAGAGTACACATAAGCATAAAGAGTGTATGTAACAGCATTCGTCACATACACAACACATCACTCCACACAAACTGCATATGAACAAAGGGGAAAAAAAGAGGCACAAATCCATTAAACAGTTCCTGTTTGACTTCATATTGATCTAAATCAAAACAGAGTCTGAGTATTGTTGGAAAGTTTTTGGTTCCTCTTCTTTTTCATCTCAACTCCCCCCCCCCCCCCCCCCCTCAAAAAAAAAATCTTTCCTTCTTATCCTCCCTTATTCTTTTCCACCATATCTCCCTTTCTTCATCACTCTGCAGATCAATACCAGAGCTATAATGATGATGAACAACTCGCATTAAGGAAAGGATCGCGAACCAAATTTTTGTCTTCTTACACATACCGATGACATCTGGCAAGGATGTGGATCTGTTTGATTCTCTCTCTACACATATGTAAATGAGGTTTGTGTACCGGTGGAAGTAATCTGCATTGTGTTGCAAGTAGCTCATCTAAATACAAATATCCTGCCCCGAAATACATTAATACCTCAGGGAGCTCGTGAGTCACCTCGTAACTTGTGCCAAGAATCATTTCTTAAGACTTGTTTGTGATTCCTAAAGAGGAAAAACAATTAATCAGATTCAAACACAAAATAAAGCAGATTTGAAAATGGTTAGATAAGCCAGACGTTGAAGCTGGACTCTGTCTTATTTAATAATGAAAGAATGCCAGAAAACACTGACTTGTAGGCTTACGGCAATTAAAACCAGTGTTACAAGAGTTTTGCAGGAGTTTGTCAAGACATTGCAGAGCACATGTTCAGAGAAAGGACTGCAAACCCTACAGGCATGAGGCCTACTAAGGCCTGAATAAAGTGCACAGCTATCTATGTGGGAGCTGAGATATTTATCCAGATCAGATTGTTGGATCGACTGGGAAGCCACCTGACGACAGCTTGATGTTGTCAGCCCTGGAAACATGACACTGACTATACGTCTTACATTTTCTAGTGATGAAAAATCATGGCAGGGAGACACGACAAACAGAGGATGTCAGAATTTGGGACACCCGACAGACTGCGTTCACTTCGAATCAAAACTTCCAGTCTGGGCACTCGTTCAGTGGAAAAATGTGTCTTCAATTTTCCACTTTTGACAAATAACAAAAGAGAAAAAAAAATTACTGCTGAAGCCTATAGAGGCTTGCCTATCAGATGAAATGCAACAGTGATCTGCCATCAGATAATGCAAGGATAATCCATTAATGTCACTCCATGGGTTCAGTCTTATCAAGACCTTTCCATATGGCCACACTGTATACTTTGAGAGTTGTAGTTATTAAATATGATGAAAGAAAAAGGGTCCTAAAAGCGCTCTAGTAAAGCAAATCCTTCACTGATGCCATTGCCATAACTCACGTTTTTAAAGTGAGTCACTCATGGATTTTTCCTTTGATCAGATCCACCTTTCCACCATGTCTCGCTTGCCTGAACTATTTGTGTAATCTCGCTGACGGACATACTGTGCAGGCAGATGCACAGAACAGAACGTATGAAACTCTGAAAGAGGAAGTGAGGGTTTACTATGTTTAAAAGTAGCTTCAATAGAGTTTAATGAAGTTTAGCAAAAGTTCAATCAGAAAGACTAATGCAGTTTACATTCTCTCTCTCACCATGTCTCACATGGGTACACCGGGGCCATTTCTCCTTCCGTTTACATCAGAAGCTCTCAAACTTCTAGAACAGCCCACTTCAAAAGCGAAAAAATTCACCTACACCCCATACCCTACTTTTTACTTTTTTTTAATCAATCAAGCTTGTGCAGTAGTCTCAGAAAAGTCTTGTTTGTGAAATTCAACTGGTGTCACATGATATTTTTCACACAATTGCCCACCTCCCACCTGGAGTAGCACCGCAATAGTCTTGAAACAGTCTTCTGCTCCTGTCAGCATCCGATTAGTGCAACCCTTTTCTTCGCCTCACGCTTTACATCACCGCCAGTGTTCACGGTTGTTGTCCTTCCAACTAAGTTCATCACATCCGTCCAGATTCTTTAGCATCACTCTTCAGCCCTGCTCCACCGCTCCCTCCATCAGGGAATATTTGTGCACAGCTCATTCCATCAGTAGCCTCTTAAATATTATGTTACATTAAAACCCGATCACCAGAGACTCCTCACCTGTGTACCTCACGCCAAATCAATCAATCAATCAATCATTTAACCTCTCAACCTTGTTTTTTACTTGATTCCCTTCTGTTTGAATTCAGCAACGCGTGTTCTCAGTCAGAAAAACAGTGGTCACAAATGCACACAGAACCATATTGTGAGTAAATATTTGCTTTCTTCTATGATCCAAGCATTAGTTTAAACATAGGTGCAAAACTTATATTTGCCGTACATACACATGCGGTAAATTTGAAGCTAAGGTCAAATTAATTACATGATTACTGGAATTAATATTGTTTCTAGTTATGGTCAGTCGTGGAAACAAATGGACATACTTTATTAGGTTACTGAATAAATATATTTTAACATAAAGCAATCCATCACTGACAGGTGCTTTACTGGATGTAACACTTTGTGTACATAATTTGAAATGGAAATTTTGTGTTTGAGCTTGCCTTTAATCTTTCTAATTTACCTTGGCGCAACAGGCCACGGTGCCTGGATATTGCTCAGTAGTGGACAGAGCCAGTTTGGCAACAAAACAAGTGGAAAAATGTGCACAAAACCACAGCGGGGTAAGCAGTGAAAGAGGAGGATTTTGTTGTGAAAATACAGATAATTCTGCTTCTTGTGTGGATCAGGGGTACAAGCTACAAAGTATCCACTAGTATATAACAAAAAATTTATATGAATGAGCACACCTCTCCTAATGGTTAGCGAGCTTTGCTCTAACAGTTTGTTCTCACCTGCGCTCCTGAGAAACCTGCCGGTGTAGGCTGTGACCACTCTGGTGCTGGGGTTATAGAAACCATCTCCACAGTCATAACATCCATCAGGAATGGCTCGTGGAGGATGTAAATCTGTTATCTGAGATTTTCCTGTATGAATAGATGGAATTATTATGATTTGACTGAGGAATGACTTAGAGGTAAAACCATCTATTCGTCAGGTCAGTGATGAACACAGACTCTGGCTCATGAAGCAGGATGACAGAACTGCCTGCATAACTTTGCTAGGTAAAACAGGGACCGAAATAGAAAGAGCTGTTCAGATAAAAGTCATAGTTTACAAATTATCCAGCACTGAGAGGAAGCTTTCAGCCAAACAATACAGAGACTTGGCTTGTACACTATATGCTCATCATTCCTTGTGTGTTTGTTTAGGAGTGGTCTAGAAAATAAGATCCAACCTGCAGGTCTGAGGCCATTGCACCTCTCCGTGTAGAAGCGTCTGTCATAACCATCGCAGTAGTTCCAGTCCTTCTCCTGGTACTGCAGTCCGTCTGCAAAGGTAAATGTCCCCTGGTGTGGAAGCACACACAGACCTGTGAAGTATCCTTATAATTAAGTCCGCTTAATAAAAACCACCTATCAGTGATATCTTACAAGTGGAAAGTGAGGGTTTTCTTTGCCAAAGCTGTAATATCTGTATCCTCCCCAATCCCAATGCACTGTTAGTGAAAGAAATATAACGTGTGCTTCTCAAATCAGTGAAAAATCCAAGATAATGCACAGATCTCACTGATGACAGTTATCGTAGGGAATATTCCAGCAAACTTTGCTGCATGTAAGATCTGGGTCTGGGTTATCCTGCATACCCCAGGCATGGTTTCTGGAAAGATAAGTTGAAGCTGCGGTTTTCAAATGTCAGCTTTGAGTTCTCTGAGAACCCAAAAGAATTTAAATCTCCCTCCATTGTCTTTCGATTGACGCAGAGCTCTCAGTGATGAATATCTCCAAACCTCAGCAGATAAAACCAAAGCTGTCTGCACAGATACATATCTCAAGGAGAAAGTGGAAAAATATGCCTTTTGGTATTTGGGGTGAACTTTATTTATCCTCAAGGGATGATACAAGAAAGACACTGTTTGTTGTTCTGCCTCTTTTATCCCTCATTCCCCCCAACCAGTCACAGCAGATGGCGGCAGACGGCAGCCTTTTTTTTTGTTGTTTGTTTTTTACAGCATTACACTTTCCAGTCATTTTTAGCTATATATCTATATTTTTTCATTGTTGTTCCATGCTTTCCTAATTTTTCCCCCAAAAAATATCCTTATAACTGTCGAAATCTTTCAAAAAATACACACATTTTCTTTCACCGCATAAGGAGAGTTAGATACTCTGGATAGTTTTAATTAGAGTTTAACTAGAGTTCAACTGTTATAGTGATATTTTTAAGACCAATATTAATACTGGCGATTTAATTTGGCGATTTACAAATCTGATATTGCAACATATCAGCAGATATTTTTATCCTTTCAGACACACATAACATAAACAGACTTCCCTGGCATTTATTATGTATAGTTATTTATTTAGTTGTTTACATTCTGCATGACTCGACTGACGCTTTTTGAGCCACTTGAAAAAATATTTTAAGCCATTCATAAGCAGTGTTGGTCACGTTACTTTAAAATAGTAATTAGTTACTAATTACTGATTACTTCTCCAAGAAAGTAATCCCATTACTTTACTGATTTCCTCTTTTCAAAAGTAATTAGTTACTTTATTACTTAGTTACTTTTTAAAAACATGATACAGAACCTGAATACATAATAAAGCAATAAACCTGTAATCAAATGAAAAATTCTCTTTTTAAAACTTGTTTTATTAGTTTGAATCTTTTAACTTTATGCACATCGCATCTTGCAAAAAAGAAATTATATGCAACAGTCTTTGACTTTGAAGAAATTTGTTTAACATTTAAACTGTTACGGCCCCGGGCCTTGGAGGGAGTGAGACTGCCCCTGTCGCCTAGCAAAAGGGGTCGTAACAAAACCTATTTTCTGCATATTCCAGCATATAAAATAATTTTGTGTTTACACTCACTCTTTCAAATAGATGCAAGTAAAACAGCAAAAAATAAATAAAATCTAAGATTCAGCAGAACTAAGTCCTGTCGTTCTTAAATCTATTTTCACTTTTTTAGCAGAAATGGGGCTGTCAGGGGTTTGCCAGGTGCCGCAACTGTCATGTCAGTGGGGGGATCCGGGGCTTTCTCTGTGAATTTCACATTCATGGCAGTGTCCTAGATAATTGCTCAGATTTGAAGTTTAATTTTTTGCTGTATAAAGAAGTTTTCCTCCCATGCAGAGTTTACAGTAGAGTTTATGTTTTTGTCACTTTTTACGGAATAAAACTTGAAGTAATTTAAGTACTTCCAAGCTTTAAACGCTACATGGTCGTGCTCTCTCCTGCACTCCATACTATCCATTGTTGATCTACACACGTCTGTTGCTGCCACAGATGTCGCACACTCGTAAGACATTGTCATGAGACACTCTCACAAACAAAATCACGGTTTAGCAACGCAGCAACGCAGCAACGCAGCAACGCAGTAACGTAGCGTGCTTATGGGAAAGTAACAGTAATCTAATTACTGTTTTGCAATAGTAATCCCTTACTCTACTCATTACTTGAAAAAAGTAATCGGATACAAGTAACGTGTTACTTGTATCCAATAAGGACAAGGATCCGACAAGGATAACTGTAAAGTCAAACAGGAATGTCACCTAAGATAAAGCTCTCAATCTACTACAATAAAGAAATCAAAACAGGAACCCAGAAATTCAACACAGAGATCATAACGGGAAACGCCTGAAATAACAATAAACCTCCACAGAAGCCCAAACTCAAATATATTCACGAGGAATTCAAAATCCCCAAAACAAAAAACAGCTAAGACCTTGACATTTAGTCTATCTAAGTCATATTCAGAGTACATCTCTGAAACTTGCACTAGGTGTAACCAATAAATCTGCTCCATTGAAGTGCACCATTATCTCATGTCAGTGAGCTGATAGGGATCCAGGAGCAGCAGCTTCGATTAATGCTGTTAACTATACAGCATATGTATGGGTCGTAATGCTGTAAGGTCTTCCCAGGGGCATGGCTGCTCACTGGTTTCTCCTGGATCCCTGGTTTTCAAGCCTGCTCCTTATGTATTAAGACCAAATCATGCAGCCACTGTCTGACTGAGTAGAAGTGTGTCATGCTTACTCACAATCTTTGCGTAGTTTTTGCTCTCTCTCTGTGCTCTAGAGCTCTTTTTGTGTGCCAGCCAGCCACATTTCTGACATATAGCCTCTCTGGGCTCCAACCTCATGCCTTTGCTCCTTGGAACCTCCAGGCCTGCTCATTCTCCACTGCTAGAAGCAGTTTCAGCACCTGCACAACTCTAACTAAGGCTGTGAATAAAAATCCTGAGCGCCTGTAATCTGTGCTCTTCTTCTTCTTCTTCTTTTTTTTCTTAATACATTTGCCAGTTCTTTTAAAAAAGCTAATTGGTATTACAAAAGGATTGCGTAGAAAGGGCACAGGTCTTAGCGGGTCGATTAAAAGTAGTAATGGCGAAAATAATTCATGCAGACCAATCTGGTTTTGTTCCAAACCGCTATGGTTCAGATAATATTAGGCGGTTGGTTAATTTGCAAAATTATGTATATGATTCAGTATATCCAACAGTG